GCAGGAGGATCGCTTGAGCCCAGGAGTTTGAGGTTGCTGTGAGCTAGGCTGACGCCACGGCACTCTAGCCCGGGCAACAGAGTGAGACTGTCTCAAAGAAAAAAAAAATGATTCTGGTAAGTCCATCAAGCAATGATGGACTCAATAGAAAATAGTCTCCTGATCGCTGGGAATTTTTAAGCCAAGGCTGGATGACAATTCATTTGGGAAATGGAAGAAGGGATTCCTAAGGCTCTCTGACATGAAATAAAAACAATTATATGAGAGAATAGGGAATAAAGTATGAAGCCCCTATAGGTATTAGTCTCCCATTGTTGCTGTAACAAATTACCACATATTTAGTGGCTTAAAACACCACCAATTTCTTTTCCTACAAGTTTAAGAGGTCAGAAGTCCAAAATCAAAGGTGGTGGCAAGGCTGTGTTCTTTCTGCAAGCTTAAGAGGAGAATCTGTTTCCTTGCCCTTTTCGGCTTTTAGGGGCCACCCACATTCCTTGGCTCAGGCCCCTTTCTTACATCATTCCAGTTTCTTATTTCTGCCATCACTTCTCTTTCTACTGTGATTACATGGGGCCCACCCTAATAATCCAGGGTAATCTCCCCCATCTCAAGATCCTTAACTTAATCACATCTGCGAAGTCCCTTTTTCCATGTAAGATAATGTATTCACAGGTTCAAGGGATTAGGATGTGGACATATTTGGGGGGCTATCATTTAGCCTACCACAGACACTGTAGCTCAGAGACAGTCACTGGGATCTGAAAAATCAAGAAGGTATTATGGAAGTGGTGCATATTGATGGGCATGAAGATAAGGAGGAGATCACTTCTAGGTTGGGAAATGACGTGAATGCAGATAGTGGGGGTAGAAATCAGCATAATTTACATGGAGACCATTAAAGAGACTGATGTAAATGCAGTAAGTGTGAGAGATGCAATCAAATGGGAGGAGGGAAAGGCCCGATCACAAAGAAACTTAAAGCCAGGAAAGGGATCCAAACTTGGTAGAATAGCAATTGGGAGTTACTGAAAGTTCCTAAGTAAGCCCCCCAAGTGACATTATAAAAATAGCATTTTCAGGATGATTAGCTGAGTAGGGTTGGGACAGCAGACTGCAAGAGGAACAAAGCCGAATGAGTATCTCCTTTGAAGCAACACTTGTGTCTAAGCTGCCTTTAGAACACTTGAAAACAAACTGGCAGCAATTTCAAAGGAGAGAGAAAAGGCAAGAGAAGGATCGTTTTAGGCTTTGTCCACCTACAGGAACACAAGCCATATACAACAACCAAGGGCCTCTTACAGTGCTTTGTAAAGGAAGATGATTTCTATGAGCTCAGGGCAGTTTTTAAAAAAACAGGAAAAAAAAAAACATACCAGGCTTACCTCATTGCTACGTTACTTCCATCAATCACAACTGGCCTCAGATTATCACTGTTGTCTATTTCATCTTCAAGAGACAATTCAGGGCTTGCAATCTCTTTGGAGCTGGGCCCGCGAGGCACTAATAGACTTAAGTTGAACTGCCCTTCTGAATCACCTTTGTTACCAAGTCTGACAAGCTCTGCCAACACATCATTAATAAGTGATTCTGGGCCCAGCTTGTTGAGCACGGATTGAATCTGTTCTTCTGCATAGCCCAGCTTTAGGGCAAACTCCATCTTGGCTTGGTATTCCTTTTCCAAGTCGAGCTTACCATCCTGTAAAATGCTGCTCTGGGAGAAGCTTGGGCGATCCAGGCAGGGTGATCGACAGAGCTGACGGTGTGGCTTGGTGGGCATCTCCTTTTTCTTCAACTGACCATCCCCAGGTTGGCACCTTTTGTTGTTGTTGTCACCGCTCTTAAGGATTATCTGTTCAGGGTCACTCTCAGAGCTCATCCACTCTTCAGAATCAGGATTGCCCTGCCCTGTGCTATCCTGCTTCGGCTGCTGCCTCTCTTCCTTGGAGGCACTCTTCTCCATTTTTGGTGTCTCCACCGCAGCTGTGGCCGTCATCCCGTTCAGTGGGCAGTCTGAGGTCTAATCAGCTCTTTTTCTTTTTAGCCTGCTTGGAATCCACATACAGTGGCATTCCTCTGTGATAAAATGTTGTGGTAGCAATGGCGCAAGAGTTTGCTTGTTTGGTTTGGTGTGTTCAGATGTTAGCAGCCCCTACAAATAAACATACATACCACAGTCATGTTCATTAAACTCCTGGAAAATAATTTTAGAATCAGAGGTATCTTCCTAAGAAACTACACGTTCTCTGGCATTTTATTTTTCTGCTTACAATGATGTAGGCTCACATTAAAAATATAGAGTCCTTAATTCTCTAATAATTTTAGACAAATTTCAGTGATGGCAATAATGCTGTAATCCTTCCTCCCACACAAAAAATAACTAAATATCTAAAGTTTTCTGCTTATCACAACAACTTGGAGAAACATTGTAT